TGGACCCGAACTGACAGTGGCTCTATCGCCCCTATGGTGGACCCGAAAAGACAGCGGCTCTGTCGCCCCTATGGGGGACCAGAACAGACAGTTGCTCTGTCGCCCCTGTGGGGAAATCCAACAGACAGTTGCTGGAATAAATGTGATTGATTGAACCAATATAAATGATTGTACATGATTTTATGAATCATTTTGGTTAACTAAACTGATGGGATTTATTTGATGAATGCAGTTGATTGATTGTACTAATGAGTTCGGTTGCATTAATGAGATTGATTGATTTAATGAATGCAATTGTTAGTATTCGTGAAATGAGATGAATGAACTATTTAACTGTGTTTTGATGAATTAGATTATGCGAATGAGATTGATTGATTGACTGAATGAGATTACAGAACATTGTGGTCACACTTGAAACCTTTCGCACTTTGTTGAGGTAACTGTGGGAAGACAATAAGAGGAGGTTAACTGGCACCTAGCCATCTTTCCCAACCATAGGCGATGGCCAGAGCGACTGGCGAGACCCGCTGGCTTTCATATTTAAAGCCATCGATGAAGCTCCTCCCCTTTATCACACATATTGGCGGGCGACCATTGGCTCGCCGGTAAACGACTTTGTCGCCAAACGGGACAGTATTTGGGACTGTCTCCTTTGATTTTAGGGCTCCTTTTTTGGCTATTGGTGGCGAGCAATATTAAGCCATTTTATATGGCGCACATAACCGATTATAACATAAACGTGCCCCCCCCCTCCCCCCATTTCCGGGTTGCTGGTTAAACATGAGGACTCCTCTCAGCAAAACACCTACCTACCGCCTCCCCTTTATGAGGTATAGCAGTGCTGTTCAGCTTGCGGTCCGCGGAGGTCTAACAAGTGGCCGGTGAATCACTACCAGCTGTAGTGTATTTATGATCTTTCTATCCTGATGCTCAGGCTTCTGGCCTGTGACGATCCTCACTCCCATAATTGTGGCCCTCTAAGTAAATTGATTGGAATAGCCGTGGCGTCAAGACTCGGCAGTTCTGCAGAGTTCATACGTTTTCCGTTCAGCGTGATCCCCTCGCGATGTCAGTCCGTCAGTGCTTGAGATCCACTGTTGCAGTAATGTTGTTGACTTGCTACCCAGGTCTGTCTGGTACCTGGCTGCAGTTGGCAAGCAACCAGAGGGAACAGGGGAAGGGGGTTGCAGGAAGTTAACTCCAAGACATGGGTGAATCATCAGTCGGGTGTAATAGTTGCAACCACTGGCGCAGATTGCCTGGGGTTTCCCCCCTGTGGGAGGCAGGCGGCGACACGTGTATGAGATTGATGGGGAAACAGGTCGAGGCAGGGTGAATGGCCCTCAAGATTTGCTGTTCCCAACTCATTCATGTCGGTAATTAGTGGGGCGGGGTGGGATCAGTGTCTTGGCTTCCATAATGGGCATTTGTGTGGTTGGGTCTAGTGTATAGTCAGCCTGGTTGGCTCTTGTTCCACTAGACACTTGCTGTGTTTCTCATTAAAATTGACAGTTTGAAAGTTGTCTAAAACTTGCTCTCTCCCAGCCAGGTGTGTTGTATATTTCTATAGTTGCTTTCACCTGTCTTCGTCTCTCTCTCTCTCTCTCTCTCTCTCTCTCTCTCTCTCTCTCTCTCTCTCTCTCTCTCTCTCTCTCTCTTTGATCTGTCCCAAACACGTGTACTATATATTTCTCCCCGTTTGGGACAAGAGTAGACTCACTGCCTCCCAAACAGTCGACTCATTTTAGGTTTCCTGCTAATTCGGAGCGCATCTGCATGAGAGGCAAGGAACCAACAGTCTGAATGCAAATAAGCCAAATCTGTGAACCCGATACGAAACTCAAGTTCTGAAATGAGCCTCAAGTCCAGAAGTGGACGAACAACCGCAGTTGACAGTCGTGAATGCAAAGAAGTGTTGTCTTATTATTTTAACCCTTTATGCCTAGACTAATCATTTTGTTTCGCAGTCTTATTTTAACCCTTTATGCCTAGACTGTAATCATTTTGATTCAGTCTTATTATTTTAACCCTTTATGCCTAGACTGTGATCATTTTGATTCAGTCTTATTATTTTAACCCTTTATGCCTAGACTGTAATCATTTTGATTCAGTCTTATTATTTTAACCCTTTATGCCTAGACTGTGATCATTTTGATTCAGTCTTATTATTTTAACCCTTTATGCCTAGCCTGTGATCATTTTGATTCACAATCTTATTATTTTAACCCTTTATGTCTGAGGGGTGTAGAGGGTTATAACTCGCCTGGGGATCAGAAGGTGGCGAGTTCGAGAGCTTGGCTCCCAGATTGACCCAGTTTTGGAAGAGTACCAGGTGGATGCCTGGGAAGTAAAGGTGGCCGGTGTGATGCTGATCATATCACTCATCAAATGTCAATAGGTCTATAAAATATAGACCTAGTCCTGTAAGCCCCATATGCCCGAAGGAGTGAAAGGGGTTTTTTACTTTTTGTTGAAGCCTATAATGATATTCATTCAGACTATCGGTGGTAACAGTTCAGCCCCTTTATGTCCTGGTCTCAAGTTATGTCGCTTTCAAGTCTTCATTCAGTTTCCTTTCGACAGTAGTCCAACACTTAAACAATGTTGTTTCCAAGTATTTCTCATTGAGCAGTGTTGATACCCAACATTTGCAAGTATTTCTGAATGAGCAGTGTTGATACCCAACATTTGCAAGTATTTCTGAATGAGCAGTGTTGATACCCAACATTTGCAAGTATTTCTCATTGAGCAGTGTTGATACCCAACATTTGCAAGTATTTCTCATTGAGCAGTGTTGATACCCAACATTTGCAAATATTTCTGAATGAGCAGTGTTGATACCCAACATTTGCAAATATTTCTGAATGAGCAGTGTTGATACACAACATTTGCAAATATTTCTGAATGAGCAGTGTTGATACCCAACATTTGCAAGTATTTCTCATTGAGCAGTGTTGATACCCAACATTTGCAAGTATTTCTCATTGAGCAGTGTTGATACCCAACATTTGCAAGTATTTCTCATTGAGCAGTGTTGATACCCAACATTTGCAAATATTTCTCATTGAGCAGTGTTGATACCCAACATTTGCAAGTATTTCTGAATGAGCAGTGTTGATACCCAACATTTGCAAGTATTTCTCATTGAGCAGTGTTGATACCCAACATTTGCAAGTATTTCTCATTGAGCAGTGTTGATACCCAACATTTGCAAGTATTTCTCATTGAGCAGTGTTGATACCCAACATTTGCAAATATTTCTCATTGAGCAGTGTTGATACCCAACATTTGCAAGTATTTCTGAATGAGCAGTGTTGATACCCAACATTTGCAAGTATTTCTCATTGAGCAGTGTTGATACCCAACATTTGCAAGTATTTCTCATTGAGCAGTGTTGATACCCAACATTTGCAAGTATTTCTGAATGAGCAGTGTTGATACCCAACATTTGCAAGTATTTCTGAATGAGCAGTGTTGATACCCAACATTTGCAAGTATTTCTCATTGAGCAGTGTTGATACCCAACATTTGCAAATATTTCTGAATGAGCAGTGTTGATACCCAACATTTGCAAATATTTCTGAATGAGCAGTGTTGATACACAACATTTGCAAATATTTCTGAATGAGCAGTGTTGATACCCAACATTTGCAAGTATTTCTCATTGAGCAGTGTTGATACCCAACATTTGCAAGTATTTCTCAATGAGCAGTGTTGATACCCAACATTTGCAAATATTTCTGAATGAGCAGTGTTGATACCCAACATTTGCAAATATTTCTGAATGAGCAGTGTTGATACACAACATTTGCAAATATTTCTGAATGAGCAGTGTTGATACCCAACATTTGCAAGTATTTCTCATTGAGCAGTGTTGATACCCAACATTTGCAAATATTTCTGAATGAGCAGTGTTGATACCCAACATTTGCAAATATTTTTAAATGAGCAGTGTTGATACCAACATTTGCAAATATTTTTAAATGAGCAGTGTTGATACCAACATTTTGCAAATATTTTTGAATGAGCAGTGTTGATACCCAACATTTGTAAATGAGCAGTTTTGATACCCAACATTTACAAGTATATCTGAACGGTCTTGTTTTGGGGGCCGATATTTTAAACTTTGTCAAACGGGAAAGGCTTTTTTTTTTAGGGCAAAATATTTGCGTTTTTCTAAGCAGGGCCAATATTTTCAGTGAGTGTGGCGACTCCAGCTCCACGGCTGTTTCTGCTGCTTCTTTTTCCTTCCTCCTCTTTTTCTTCTCCTCCTTTTTTTTTCTTCTTCTTCCATCTCATTCCATCTTCTGTTTTTACCCGTTAGGAGAGCAATGGTCCCTCACCAACTCACACAAAATTATTGTATCCTTTGTTTATTGCACACAGCTCACCCCATGTTCTTTCCGTCTTTTTAACTTGACTTTCTAATTCCCATCTCCACGTATTTTTGGTCTTTCTTTATTTCTGTGATGTTGAGTGTAAAGGAATTCACTTTATATGTTCTCGATTTCCTCATTGTGTCGTATCCCACAGCAGTGCTCTTTCTTCGTCTTTTGATTTACTAGAATTTGTGTAAATCTTTCCAAAAACTCTACATTGGTGACTATCTTGCCATTTAATTTCCTCTATTCTGTGCACCAGTTAATGTGTGTTTGTAGAAATACATTATTTACATATACAGTTTTCACTGTGAAGACAGAATTATAAATTAAGACATTAAGAATATGATTGCTGTGTATTTGTAGTGTGTGTGTGTGTGTTTTTTTTTTTTAAATTATTATTCTGTATCATCCCTCTTTCAGAATTGTAAACCAAAGGTGTGGCACTCAGCAAGCCACTATTTAGATACCAGTCCAACAGGAACAAATCTTTGATACCCTTTTGTCTTTTGCGTTGATCCTTAGAACCACAGCACACTTTTCTGTAGTTTACACCTAGATTGTGATATCTGCACCTTGTGGCTCGACACAATATGTATTTTCTTTAATGTTTATCCCCAGGTCGCAATGAATTGATAGCACGTTACATCAAGCTTCGGACGGGCAAAACACGGACTCGCAAACAGGTGTCTAGTCACATACAGGTCCTGGCACGAAGGAAAGCCAAGGAGATCCAAGCACAGCTGAAGGTTACAGTAAGTGTCGGACAGTTCTATTTAACTTTTCCAGGACATTTTAGTGATGGCTAGTGCACTCATCTGCCAGGTTGCCCACTTTTTATGGGTTAAACTGCCTCATAAATGGCCTGAAAGAATATTTTTCCCCCCGTCAACTTTCTGAAGCTATAACTCTCTGAACCTAATGACATCAGTGCTCCTATCAACTGCACAGCTCCGATTCCAGTGCACAAGTGTTTATAAATGTTCACCACAGTGCCCCCTTTTGCACAGGCAGAAATTTTTACAAAAATTTGCTGTTTGTAACACATTTTTTGTCTGTGATTACCATTTTGTTGATATTATACTGTAATTTCAAACTTTAAGCTTGCAAAAGCCCCATGTATAAATTCAAGGAAGCTGAAAATGTCTACTAAACGCATGGTCAGCTGATGGTATCAGCAGGAGAAAGAGAGAAGATGGCTATGTATTGGACGGGGAGAAATGGACAGAAAATCAGCAAGCAAGTAAATGGGAATTGGCTGAATGCAAATCTGAGGAAGTCCAAACGAAACCCTAAGATACCCATGAGAGATGTCAAAGGTGTGTACCAGATTGCATAGATAATATTAAAACAACTGCTTATGGTTATACTGTATGCATGATATTGAAATAATTGAATACTAGAAGAATAAACCTCAGCCCTGTGTGACACATAACAGGATCATAATGAAGTATGTTGCTGACCGTGTATATTAATATTTCCCTGGGCATTTTGGGGTCCCATTTGGGGGGGGGGGGGGGGGGGCACAGGCCCCAAACAAGCATGTAGTAAAAGGAGACTGATTAGGTTCAGCTCCATGAGAGGTGAGCAAGAAGCAGTTTGCATACAGATAAGCGAGATTTGTAGAACTGATGTGCAGCCGAACAACTAGAACTTTTCACTGAAGTTTACAGACGGTGAAAGCAGTGTCAAAGACGAATAAAAAGTTTAACATCATTTTTGATTTTAATGCTAATTTTGCAGACTGCAAAATAGTTCCAGCGATATATTTTCCTGATCAAATGGCACCTGGTGGATGAGTGGTCACCGTCCTGTTGGAAGTTATATAGTGCCCATTGGTTAACTAATTAGAACACTGGTCTCTTATTAGGGGTGCTGTGTGGTCTCGAGGCATGGTGTCCGCCTCAAGTGCTAGAGGTTCTGGGTTTAATCCCTTGTATGAGCTGGACTTTCTTCACGTGGGCTTAGACTTCTAGTAATTCCCCCTGGTTTCTGGGTAGTGAGATCAAACGCCCCTGTGCATTGTGGCGCACGTAAACAAAAAAAAATCCCTTGTCAGTTGGGAATCGAAAAGAATAGTCTAACAGCGCTGCCCTGACTTATTTGAAGTTAAAAATCTGCCCAAAGTATTTCAGGGTCCTTGCCGGTGCTACAGAGCCTGTGCACTGTGCTAAGCTTCTTCGGATGCAGACTTGAGTTAGAAAAAGAACAGAGGCCGAGCACTTATGGGTTACTACCTGCATGCCAGAAATGATGTTGATCCCTTGTTTAAACCCCAAACCTCGGGAGACCTGGATTTATATCCTCAGTAAAGTTATGGGATGTTATTCTGTGTGGAGCCGAATAAATTCTCAACCTACAGAGATTATGGTGACTGACCTAGCCATCAGTCTGAATCCTCATTCTCAGAACCATGAACCCTTTTTCTGTCCAATTCTAAAACCCTGGCAGCAGCGGTATCCCATTTCAGTCCCGCAGGCCTGTTGAATTGTTGCTGGGCATGCACCTAGCAGTTCCACTATTGACTGTATAGTCTGATGCCAGAGTGAAAACTTTGTCACAATTTCTGCAGCTCTAAGATCAGGCGGCCCTGACAAGTGGTGTCATAATAATAAGGGCAGTGAAAAACAACTACAGTATTCTACTACATAAAATCAAAAATCAAACTTGTGCTGTTGTGACCTTTACATCTGTTACCATTTGTAGACAAATCTTCATGATCAGGCAGCACGAGATAAAGCTCTCCAGCAGATGGCCTCCATGTCTTCAGCCCAGATTGTCTCAGCTTCGGCCATTCATAACAAGGCTCTCGCTGGCAGTTTAGGGGGCCTTCCTCCTGGAATGCCTGGAGGCCCTGTCAGGCCCCCATACCCTGGTGCTCCGTCGGTGAGTCTTTTTTCTTTCTATACATCTAAGTGGCTCTAAATGATTGTGTTTAACATGATTTGATCAGATTTGTAGCTGTTATTGCAGTTTGTAATGTTCCGTGGGTGAACCCAGTACCAGAGTACTGTGTATCGGCTCTGCATTATGGAAGCCTCCTTGATACTGCCCTTTCAAGGGCGAACATATAAAAAGATTGATCGGATTTATAGGGGCTGTTACATCCGTGATATTGAGAGTTGGAGAAATGCATCGAATTTTCTATACGACCTCTGGCCCAGTATTATTGATATCAGGATTCCTTCAGAGGAAGAATGGCCTCATCTTTTTACCGTTACCTCGTTTATTGTCCCGTCCTGTTTTCCTCTTTGGGGTTGAAACCCCAGCCTTTCCGTGGATTACTAAGGAGAATGGAAGCCAGAATACCCCTTCCTATTCCTGTGATAATGGATTAGACATATGAACAATAAACAGACGATATGAAGCAGAAAGTCTGACTGAATACATCCAGAGACTGTGTCTGGTCATTGAGAGGCAGGCTTTCTTTCTGACAGTTGCTGTGTTGAGCTCTACCACACCGGCTACTGTACCTTTAAGACGGTCGTAATAAAGCCATTGTTTTGTTTGATTATGACTTAGGTGAACACAAAATAAACTACGACCAGCGAGCTCAAGGAAGAAAAGGAAAAGACACACAAATACAGCCAAACATTTTAACCAGTCTTTGTCAGCGAACAAAACAGCCGGTTATACAGCCAAACATTTAAACCAGTCTTTATCAACTAACAGAACAATCAGTTGAACAGCCAACACCAGCATGCCTCTATAATATGGTTGTGATGTCAATATTTGAAACAAATTTATGTTAATCTATAAACTGAACAGCCTGTCATGGCATGAAAACATTATTATTATGCTCCTCAGATATGGCAGCCAGGTTTAACACAAGGAGAGTAAGTAACTCTGTTACTCTTGTTATTTGTTATTTTCTGTTTCTTGTTATTACTTTGGCTGTTAAGCTGTCAATCTTTGCTTTGTTTGCCCTGCTAGTCTGTCCCTTTCTTATCTGGATGTGAGTTAGTTATTTTTTTTTTTTTAAATCCAGGAGTTAAATGTGAGAAGATCAACTTCATTGCAATGTTTCATTCCTTGTGACCCAGTTTCTTTCTGCAGAATGGCTAGCCATCTGCTGAGACCATCCTCAAAGCACGACCTCTGTAGCTCTGGAAATGATCTCAGAGATCTATGTAAAAATTGTACTCGTGAGCGGAACACCCCTGCCTGAGAAAAGAGAAGAAAAAAGTCACTTCAAAGAAGAAAAGGGAACAAAGTCCATCATAAGACTACAGAATAACAACAATGTAATCAAAAACCATAATCATTTAGGCGTTCATTACTGTAATACTTTTTTTCAGGGAGGATTACTAATCAGTTATCAACTTTTATTTCAGTGTAAAGCCATTTTCTGCAAGCTATGCCTTCGACTCCAAACTTCCGTCCATTACTGGAGAGATGGCGCCACCTCCTTGGCAAGGCCGGTCTATTGCTGGGCCTAAGCTGAGACAGGTCGAATTTTCGGCTTTCTTAGAGCAGCAATCAGATCCTGATTCTGTAAGTAGCAGAGGTGATACACCTTAATGTATTTGGTTTTGTGCACTTATTTTCTATTTTACAGTCATAACATCCCTGTTCGGGTTCTGGGGCCCCATTGTGGGGGAAACAAGAATAGACCCACTGCCTCCCAGTAAAGCATGTTGTAAGAGTCAGCTAATTGCTCTGCCTGAGAGGCAAGGAACAAACTGTCTGCACATAGATCAATAAGCTAGATCTGTGAAACGAATTTGCACACAACACTCAGGCTCTGGAACATTACTAAAGTTCACAGGTGAACAAATAACCAGAACTTCCCTTCGGAGTTTTGAGCCGGTGAAAGCAAAGAAGAAGAAGCAAATAGAAATTATTAAACATCTATAATGCCAGCTGGAGTTTTAGTATAGTTCCTCCAGCCTGGAGGAAGTCTGAAATCTTCGTAATCCTGAAACAAGGAAAGCCGAAGAACAACGCAGACAGCTACATACCCATCAGCCTCACTAGCTGTCTGTGCAAACTTTTTGAAAGATTATTGAACAACCGACTGACCTGGTTCCTAGAGAAAAACCAAACTAATGGAGGAACAGGCAGGTTTTAGACGTTGTAGATCAACAGAAGACCAAATTACATTTATTGCTCAACACATTGAAGATGCATTCCAGGAAAAAAAGCACACTATTGCAGTCTGGGTGGATATGGAAAAGGCCTTCGACAAAGTGTGGAAAAATGGGCTGAAAAAAAAGCTACTTGTAAGTGGAATATCCCATCACATGCTTGGGTGGATCGTAAAATATCTTGAAAATCGATCTGCAAGAGTCAAGATACAGGGTTCAAGGAGCAGATCAGTCTCAATGAAACATGGAGTTCCACAAGGCGGAGTTCTGTCCCCAATTCTTTTCCTAGTTTACATTAACGACATAAAATCAACCCTCTGTAATGGAGTTCAAGCCGTTATGTATGCCGATGATCTGGCGCTACTGAGTTCAGAGGAGGACACTGAAAAAGCACAGACAAGGCTCCAAGAATACCTCGGAACTCTAGAGAGGTGGTCCAATAGCTGGTACATGCCTGTAAATGGGGCCAAAACCACACACACCATTTTCAGTCTCTCTACCAAACCCCAGAAAGTTTCACTTAGATATGGCAGCCAGGCACTGATATATGATGAGTCACCGTCATATTTAGGAGTAACCTTTGACTCAAGACTCACATGGAGAAAACAGATAGAAAAGACACAGAGCAAGGGACTCAAGAGAACACAACTGATGAGGAAGTTAGCTGGAACAGACTTGGGGGCAAACCTCAATGTCCTTAAGAGGACCTATACAGGCTATGTGAGGCCAACACTAGAATATGGAATAGCTGCTTGGGGCACAGCTGCTAAATCAAATTTTCAGAAAGTCTCAAAGATCCAAAACCATGCGCTCCGTATTATGACAGGGGCAATGCGCTCCACGCCAATATCAGATATGGAAACCCCAGAAGGCTAGACTAAAGAGAACCTGTTTTATTAAGAACGCAAATGCCAAGCTCGCTGTCCTTAAACTCCCTCCCATAATACCAAATGTTCCACTTAAACCTTACAACGACTGCCCCGCTTGGCTTAGGGATAGCCTACCAACAGTCAGAACCACTGTAACAGGGGTCTCCTCCAAATCATCAATGAGCAGCACTGATATGAAATTAACTACAGAAGGAGAGATCAATAGACTTTATCCACACCAGAGTTGGATTCGAGTGTATACAGATGGCTCAGCCAAGAGAGCAATAAGAGACGGAGGAGGAGGAATATACATAGAATGCCCAAATGGTTTAAAAATCAACCAGACTGTACCAACAGGTTCATATTCCTCCAATTATAGAGCAGAGGCAGAAGCACTTCTAGCGGCATGTTCTTTCCTGAATGGACAACAGCACAGCAAATATAGCAGAGTGGTCTTTCTGACTGATGCTATGTCAGTTCTACAAGCAATTGTTAACCCAAAAGACACTCAGTTTGTAGACTTGACGCAACAGCTGATTTGCTTAGGCTCTTCAGTAGAACAATCTGTACTGCAGTGGATTCCAGGTCACTGTGGCTTGGAAGGCAATGAAATAGCGGACAGATTGGCCAGAAGCGGCAGTGACATGGTACAACCAAATAGCGACTTAACCCACCAAGAGATGAAAACACTAATACAAGCTAGTATCCAAGAAAGGTGGCTGGATACCCACACCAGATTTTCTCCCCAAGACTCACTTCATCGCCTCTCTAGAGAGGGACAGTGTATTATATTCAGACTAAGGACAGGGCACAACAGATTTCGTCAACATATGTTCAAATTTTTTTGTGTAGGAAATACGGAGATGTGTCCCTGCAGCGTGGCACCCGAAAATGCTGAGCATGTGCTCCAACACTGTCAACTGTATGCTGACAACAGAGACGCAATCTGGCCTGTTCCAACCACACTGAAGATAAAACTGTATGGTACACGAGAGGATATGGATTGCACGATAGCTTTCATAAAGGCTACCGGCCTCCTGATATGTTTTCTGACAGAAGGATCGAAGAAGAAGAAGAAGAATACATTAAATTGCCCTGCTTTGCCTGGGATAGTGAAAAAAAGTCTTATTCTCCCATTCTCTACCTCATTTTGGCCTCCGCCACTGCCCTACATATAGGCCTAGTGGAAATGGGGTTTTAACTAAAACCCTATAATTAATATCTCTTCTTCTGCTTCATTTTTGTCTCCACCGCTGCTGTATATGTAGTCATTGTCCCTAAGTGCAACCAAGGCATTCCCTGTAATATTAACACCAGTATTTAATACTTGGGAGACAGGCAAATGTATTTCTCAGACACATAAAGATGTGTGGTTTCAAGGAAGATAACAGCGGAAGTATAATTTATAAATCACTTTTTCAAGAAAAATGTAGTAGGTGGAAAACATTTAAAGGTATATAACTCCTGTGAAAGTTAACTTTTACGGACTGACACAATAAATTAAGAAATGCACAGTCACCTGGCCAAAAATGTGACTGTTTAAGTAAACAATATAATCATAATGGGAAATGAAAATTTTACCTGTGTCTTTGGTCTCAGTTGGGGAGGTGTTAACACTTCATTTATAATAAACACACTATATACAGAAAGGGTGTGTGATTTATAGTATATATAATCTGCACATGAAACTGTTCTGTTCTATTCCATTTCACTATCTTTGATTTACTGCTATAATCTGTAATTACTACCGTGGGATGCAGAGTCCTGAACCACACGTGGTGGTGGACCAAGACCTGACTGCACCTCCTCTGGGACCTCATAGAAACAGGTTCCCCATGTAATAGCCTCCGCTGAGAATGTGTTCCCTCCATCTATCAAACGCTGATTAGTCTGTCAGGTCCCCATGTGAGTACTGGGACCTCATAGAAACAGGTTCCCCATGTAATAGCCTCCGCTGAGAATGTGTTCCCTTTATCTATCAAATGCTGATTAGTCTGTCAGGTCCCCATGTGAGTACTGGGACCTCCGTCTCGGAGGATTAAAAATAAACCAAGACAGTACCCCTGCTCTTTCCACCCAAAACAAGCATGTCATAAAAGGCAACCTATAAAAGGTGTTTCTTTTGAAGTCTAAGTGTATCTCCCTGAGAGGCATGGAACTAACGGTCTGCTGCATACAGATAAGTTAGATATGTATAATGGATGTGCACACAGATTTCAAGTTCTGGAATAAGACAAAAATCTAGAAGTAGATGAACCAACAGAACTTTCCACCTGAGTTTACAGCCTGTAAACATGAAGAGGGGGAGGCCTCTATAAGATGCAAACCATATTCCAAGTATGCTTTAAGGCGAGGAGACAAGTCTTTTTTTTTTTTAATCAGATTTTAACATATATTCAGTAGACTTCATACTGTGTTTTTTTTTTATAGCCTGCATTGTTTTGTTGTTTCAGTATCACAAACACTTATATGTGCACATAGGGTCTACAGCAACCTATGGTGATGCCCTTTTGGAGGTAAGTTCTTTCCCATCATGGAGTCTTTTACTGCATTGTCTGTTGTTTTGTCCCAGACACTAGATTGTGAGTCTGTTAACAATATGTCTTTTTCTTCTCATCCCTCTAACTTCTGTTATGTTTCCCTTCTGCTGCCAGAATTTCTCCAAACAGAAGGGCTAGCTGGCAGACCAGAGCTTTGCACAGAACAAATACTCTGCCATTCTGGAGATGTTCCCCAGGGATCTCCATTAAAATGTCACCTGTGAACTGGTCAATACTGCCGGGAAATGAACCCACCACCATCTGAGTGTGGGCAAGAGGCTTGACCACTTCACCAAGGAGACTCCTATTGTAGCACAGTTGTCATGGAGATGGTACTGTGTTGGGAGAACAGCCTCACTCAGAAAGTTTATCATCACCCAGTTTGTTTTTCTTGTGTATCATTAATTTGTGTTCTCTCTCAAGTCTGAATATAGTATATCAGCTCTAAGATATCTCCCTGCCTCTAAGTATCATTTTCTTATATGTTGTGTAATCTGTCTCTATAGTTAATCAATTTATGTATCGGTGATGTTTGTTCTATCTGTCTCCAATTAATCATTTCATGTATCAGTGATACATCTTCTCACTGTCTTCAATTAATCATTTCATGTATCAGTGATACATGTTCTTCCCGTCTCCAGTCAATCATTTCATGTATCAGTGATACATCTTCTCCCTGTCTCCAGTCAATCATTTCATGTATCAGTGATCTGTGTTCTCCTTGTCTCCAGTCAATCATTTCATGTATCAGTAATACAGGTTCTCCCTGTCTCCAGTCAATCATTTCATGTATCAGTAATACATGTCCTCCCTGTCTCCAGTCAATCATTTCATGTATCAGTGATACATCTTCTCACTGTCTTCAATTAATCATTTCATGTATCAGTGATACATGTTATCCCCGTCTCCAGTCAATCATTTCTTGTATGAGTGATACATGTTCTCCCTGTCTCCAGTCAATCATTTCTTGTATGAGTGATACATGTTCTCCCTGTCTCCAGTCAATCATTTCATGTAACAATGATACGTGTTCTCCCTGTCTCCAGTCAATCATTTCATGTATCAGTGATACATGTTCTCCCTGTCTCCAGTCAATCATTTCATGTATCAGTGATACATGTTCTCCCTGTCTCCAGTCAATCATTTCATGTATCAGTGATACATGTTCTACCTGCGTCCAGTTTATAATAAGCTATTGTGCTGTAAGTGTTTCCTCTTTTCGAATCTATTGTTTATGTGTGTTGTCGCTCTGCCTGTGTTATCATAGAATAATTTATCATTGTTCGTTCTTCTTGGCCAGGCAATTGATATTAGACAGATCTATGACAAGTTCCCAGAGAAGAAAGGCGGACTGAAGGAGCTCTATGACAAGGGCCCCACGTCAGCATTTTTTCTGGTCAAATTTTGGGTAAGTGGTCAGCTGAAGGTTAAATAATGCTGGGCTGTTCCTGCGGGAGACCAGAGTTCGATTCCTCAGTAAGGTCGTGGGCAAAAATGAAATCCTAACCTGTGCTAGCCATACGGCGACTGCACTAGCCATACGGCAACTGCACTAGCTATACTGCCCTAAATCTTCAGGATCAAAGGACATGCTCCCCTACCCTTTTTTTTTTGCTGCCTGCACTGTAAAAAATATTAAATACATGCAGAGCTTGTGGGGCAACATGAAACATTTTAGGTGGCTGTTTTTGAAGCTGCTCTGCATTTTCTGGATCGGCTGTTTTAAAGTAGGCTTCTTTTGATATTCTGTCTATGTATATAGTAAATAAGAAAGGAGACAGCACACAATAGTGTGATAAAGTCGCTTATTTGGAGCTTTGGGAGAGGACTACAAATTTGCCTTCTTTAGGGACAGATAATTTGTTCTCTTTATGGCTTTTCGTTTCTTTTTCTTCTTTATCTTCTTAATGTTCACCGGCTGCTGAACTCCAGTGAAAAGTTCTGGTTCATCTGGACTTGAGTCTCATCCCAGAACTTGTGATTTGTGTACTGTTCCATTCTGGTGTGTTGGGAAATGAACAGGCAGACAGGCTGTGTGGCTCTGCATTGATGCATGACAAGCTGGGTGTGATCTGGCCCCATTGAGAGCAAGTGAATGTTATGATCAGGAGAGAATGTTGCAGGCAGATGTGACTAGATGTGACTGACACTCACAGGAAAGGCAACATGCACATAGTTTTCTACTGGTACTGTCAAAATTGGAACTGGGCGCTGGTTGCCGAAGATGGGGACAGGGCACATATGGGAATTTCTGAGTGTGGTGACGTCTGTTCCTAACTTGACTCAACTCAGCTCATCCTATGTTGAGAAGTTGTCATTGATCAGCAGCTCCTTTATATAACGTCACTCTCATTACGGCTTGCCTGAAAGTCTTTCTTTCTTTGGCCAGTTCTCCAGCCCTATGTGCTTTTTTATCCATGTATCTCGATGTCATATATCCACCCTCAGCCAACATTTACAGGAAACTGCACTCTCGCCAACGTGACAGCCTGACTTATGAGCCAATTCTCCTCGATGTTCAGATCGTGTAGGATATTGAGACGTAGCGTTGTTAGATCTGTATGATTTTTCTGTGTCAAGACTATGAAAATAACCGGTATGATGTCATTCTATAGGCTGACATCAACACAAATGTGCAGGATGAAGGTGGCGCTTTCTACGGAGTCACGAGCCAGTAAGTTTCCACCTCTTCTTTGTTTTGTTTAGTTTTTTTTATGACTTTTGTTACTTAATCATCCTATTGTATCGTTATATACCCCTGGCCTCCCAGCAATACCCCTGGCCTTTCACCATTACCCCTGGCCTCCCAGCAATACCCCTGGCCTCCCAGCAATACCCCTGGCCTCCCAGCAATACCCCTGGCCTCTCACCAATACCCCTGGCCCCTCAGCAATACCCCTGGCCTCTCACCAATACCTCTGGCCTCCCAGCAATACCCCTGGCCTCTCACCAATACCCCTGGCCTCCCACCAATACCCCTGACCCCTCAGCAATACCCCTGGCCTCCCACCAATACCCCTGGCCCCTCAGCAATACCCCTGGCCCCTCAGCAATACCCCTGGCCTCCCACCAATACCCCTGGCCCCTCAGCAATACCCCTGGCCTCCCACCAATACCCCTGGCCTCCCACCAATACCCCTGGCCTCCCAGCAATACCCCTGGCCCCCCATCATTACCCCTGGCCTTTCACCATTACCCCTGGCCCCTTACCAATACCCCTGGCCTCTCAGCAATGTTTGTCTTGGTGTTTCTCTTAGCTGTCCACATTTTTTAATCCATTAGTGTCCCATTACAGTGCCCATTTAGTGATTCTGTTTTGTTGTTGTTTTTTTAATCATCCGATATATTGCAACTTTTTTTGTTTACTGTTAATACCATCAGTTGTCTAGACATTGATACAAGCTGTTGTTGAAACATTTATCGTTTTTCTTGGATTGATCCTAGGCCTGACAGACTGAGGGTCATATAGGTCACATTTTGTCCTGATGATAACCACACACAGCGATTTAATAAAAGTGATTGCAAAATATTTCTTTTATGTGGGCCAAGGTGTGCTTGCATGCGACCCATGGGCCGCTAGTTTTATATGCCTAATTTATCCATTTTAATGTTTCTCACTTTCTTGGTCATTTTTGTTTTTCAATTTATTTATCCTTTTCTGTGACTTTATTGGTCCTGCAACCTTCGCTGGCGTATGTTAAAACTGAAATAATGTTCCAATTAAAAATACATATGTCTTGGTTTTATTGACTACCTGGTTGAGAGTTTGGTTGATGTCTGTTTACAGATATGAAAACAGTGAGAACCTGGTGATACAAGTGTCGACAAAAGTGTGCTCCTTCGGAAAACAAGTGGTGGAGAAAGTTGAGGTAACTTACTGGCCTTCTCACGACAAAATCTCCACGGCTGTTCTGTTCTGCGTATAGTATTACGGAAATGAGAAATTATTTCAGAGGTATTTATCGGCACTTGAAGAGGTAGATGACCAACTTAAAATTTAGCAAACACATTAGACCAGTGGTTCCTAAAGATCCTTTTATTTTAGATAGTCTGTCACAGACTCCATACTTTTTAATACTCAGCACTGAAGGAGTTATTATAATGTATAAGTATAAGAATCACAGAAAGGATTCCGTTCAAAAGTTGCTGGTGTTCTTCTGTCAATGATATCTTGAACACCTTCCTTATCTTCTGTCAATGATATCTTGAACACCTTCCTTATCTTCTGTCAATGATATCTTGAACACCTTCCTTATCTTCTGTCAATGATATCTTGAACACCTTCCTTATCTTCTGTCAATGATATCTTGAACACCTTCCTTATCTTCTGTCAATGATATCTTGAACACCTTCCTTATCTTCTGTCAATGATATCTTGAACACCTTCCTTATCTTCTGTCAATGATATCTTGAACACCTTCCTTATCTTCTGTCAATGATATCTTGAACACCTTCCTTATCTTCTGTCAATGATATCTTAACACCTTCCTTATCTTCTGTCAATGATATCTTGAACACCTTCCTTATCTTCTGTCAATGATATCTTAACACCTTCCTTATCTTCTGTCAATGATATCTTGAACACCTTCCTTATCTTCTGTCAATGATATCTTGAACACCTTCCTTATCTTCTGTCAATGATATCTTGAACACCTTCCTTATCTTCTGTCAATGATATCTTGAACACCTTCCTTATCTTCTGTCAATGATATCTTGAACACCTTCCTTATCTTCTGTCAATGATATCTTGAACACCTTCCTTATCTTCTGTCAATGATATCTTGAACACCTTCCTTATCTTCTGTCAATGATATCTTGAACACCTTCCTTATCTTCTGTCAATGATATCTTGAACACCTTCCTTATCTTCTGTCAATGATATCTTGAACACCTTCCTTATCTTCTGTCAAAGTAGATCACAAAAGGCTCCCAGTCTGGTCCTCCAATCTGTTGTGTTCTGTGCAATCCTTGTAATATCGTGGTTGTAATCCAGTCCAGAAACTTTGGCCTCTCTCATCAGTGTCCATTTTAGTGTTTTTCCTATACACATGTATTATTCTGATGCTGATTTGCAGTCGAGTAGTGTGCAGGTCTGGCGACAGACATCTGCTCAGCGACCATCATACAACAACACTTAAAGACAGAATTACTTCCTTTCTTGTGAGTTTCTGTAGCAGTTATTTTTACAGCCTGGGGTAGCTGTTCTATCAATTGTTGCATTTGTTTGCTGTTTTTGTACCTCATTACTGTCTACCCTCCCTATGCTGTCTCTCCCTTCCTGTATTTCCTTACCTATTACCCATTTTGACAGCTGGCTACATTTGGTGCAACAATTGTGACTGGCCTAAATATGACTTCTTATGGAGTTGAACGCTATATCTGAGACTTGCTCTGTTGGATTGCTGTCCCCCCACTAACTTTATAATGTTCATAATTCCTGGTAGCTATCATCAACAGTGTGCAAGACTAAAGAACAATTGCTGTATCTGCTGTGTACACTGATCCCCAAAGTACATCTGTACATTGGGTAATTGCATGCATACTTAGTCCTCCAGTGTGGTAGCCACTCCGGGCTACCTCATCTTCCCTTTATCCTCCAGTGCAGTAGCCACTCCGGGCTACCTCATTTTCCCTTTATCCTCCAGTGGAGTAGCCACTTTGGGCTACCTCATCTTCCCTTTATCCTCCAGTGGAGTAGCCACTCCGGGCTACCTCATCTTCCCTTTATCCTCCAGTGCAGTAGCCACTCCAGGCTACCTCATCTTCCCTTTATCCTCCAGTGCGGTAGCCACTCTGGGCTACCTCATCTTCCCTTTATCCTCCAGTGCAGTAGCCACTCTGGGCTACCTCATCTTCCCTTTATCCTCCAGTGCAGTAGCCACTCCGGGCTACCTCATCTTCCCTTTATCCTCCAGTGCGGTAGCCACTCCGGGCTACCTCATCTTCCTTTTATCCTCCAGTGCGGTAGCCACTCCGGGCTACCTCATCTTCCCTTTATCCTCCAGTGCGGTAGCCACTGATGGGCTACCTCATCTTCCCTTTATCCTCCAGTGTGGTAGCCACTCCGGGCTACCTCATCTTCCCTTTATCCTCCAGTGCGGTAGCCACTCCGGGCTACCTCATCTTCCCTTTATCCTCCAGTGCGGTAGCCACTCCGGGCTACCTCATCTTCCCTTTATCCTCCAGTGTGGTAGCCACTCCGGGCTACCTCATCTTCCCTTTATCCTCCAGTGTGGTAGCCACTCCGGGCTACCTCATCTTCCCTTTATCCTCCAGTGTGGTAGCCACTCCGGGCTACCTCATCTTCCCTTTATCCTCCAGTGCAGTAGCCACTCCGGGCTACCTCATCTTCCCTTTATCTCCCAGTGCAGTAGCCACTCCGGGCTACCTCGTCTTCCCTTTATCCTCCAGTACAGTAGCCACTCCGGGCTACCTCGTCTTCCCTTTATCCTCCAGTACAGTAGCCACTTCCGGGCTACCTCATCTTCCCTTTATCCTCCAGTGGAGTAGCCACTCCGGGCTACCTCATCTTCCCTTTATCCTCCAGTGTGTTAGCCACTCCGGGCTACCTCATCTTCCCTTTATCCTCCAGTGCAGTAGCCACTCCGGGCTACCTCATCTTCCCTTTATCCTCCAGTGGAGTATAGGCCCTCAACCAACTCATGTCGAGTCATCCTATACTTTGCTATTTGATGCAGCTCATCCTGTGTCCTCTCCATCATTTTAACTTCTCTCCAGTTTCCTTTTCCAAGTGTCTTATGGTATTCCTATCTTTGTGTTCTCCTGTGAGTTACAGTGTAAAGACATTCTGTTTATATATCTTCTTCTTAACGTTTGTTCGAGTGGCGTAATATTGTTGTTCCTGTTCACAGCAGAACTGAGATATTTTCGCATTTCAGCCAACACATTACTGACTTTACTGAGAAGTTGTTGACCTGGTTAACTAACCGGATAGTTTTGAGGGACATGGCATATTCATTATTTATGTGGTGTTATTTGTGTCCCCCTATCCACAGATAGAGCCAGTCAAGGGCATCCGTATGTAGACTGGTTAAGGCAAGGCAGGGGCAGATCTTGGGCATTCCCTGCCATCTAAGGAGGCTTCCATAAATGCAGAGCCAAAACATAACGCTCTGGTCCTGGGCTCACAGAAGGAATTGTTACATCCTGCACATGACTGTTTAACCTCACATCTGTATGTTAAGCTTCCACTCATCATGGGCTGCACCATCAAGGAGCAACATATAGGTCCAGAACTTCCACGACCATGATTACAGCGTGCTAGCCACCTTTAACATTTTTACAGGGGCCCTGAACCAGGGACCTCCAGCACTTGAGGCGGACGCCATGCCTCGAGATCACCCAGCCCCTCAAATATTTGTACCAAACCAGCTGACTGAGAGTAACAGATGGTGTACATCGATGCGGTGATGACAATGTTGAGGGACAGCAATGTCTTGGTGTACATCGATGCGGTGATGACAATGTTGAAGGACAGCAATGTCTTGGTGTACATCAATGCAGTGATGACAATGTTGAGGGACAGCTATGTCTTGGTGTACATCGATGTGGTGATGACAATGTTGAAGGACAGCAATGTCTTGGTGTACATCGATGCGGTGATGACAATGTTGAGGGACAGCAATGTCTTGGTGTACATCAATGTGGTGATGACAATGTTGAGGGACAGCAATGTCTTGGTGTACATCGATGTAGTGATGACAATGTTGAGGGACAGCAATGTCTTGGTGTACATCAATGTAGTGATGACAATGTTGAGGGACAGCAATGTCTTGGTGTACATCAATGTGGTGATGACAATGTTGAAGGACAGCAATGTCTTGGTGTACATCAATGTAGTGATGACAATGTTGAAGGACAGCAATGTCTTGGTGTACATCAATGTGGTGATGACAATGTTGAAGGACAGCAATGTCTTGGTGTACATCAGTGTGGTGATGACAATGTTGAAGGACAGCAATGTCTTGGTGTACATCAATGCGGTGATGACAATGTTGAGGGACAGCAATGTCTTGGTGTACATCAATGTGGTGATGACAATGTTGAAGGACAGCAATGTCTTGGTGTACATCAATGTGGTGATGACAATGTTGAAGGACAGCAATGTCTTGGTGTACATCAATGTGGTGATGACAATGTTGAAGGACAGCAATGTCTTGGTGTACATCAATGTGGTGATGACAATGTTGAAGGACAGCAATGTCTTGGTGTACATCAATGTGGTGATGACAATGTTGAAGGACAGCAATGTCTTGGTGTACATCAATGTGGTGATGACAATGTTGAAGGACAGCAATGTCTTGGTGTACATCAATGTGGTGATGACAATGTTGAGGGACAGCTATGTCTTGGTGTACATCAATGTAGTGATGACAATGTTGAGGGACAGCTATGTCTTGGTGTACATCAATGTAGTGATGACAATGTTGAAGGACAGCAATATCTTGGTGTACATCAATGTGGTGATGACAATGTTGAGGAACAGCAAAGGATAACGGAGATAACTGCTCCATGAGTTACCGCCTGCTAGAGATGTTGCTCCTCTAAGCTGTAGGCATATCTTTTGTTATAGGGCTGAATCTCAGCAGTTTAGTTCTTCTACTCGACTGATGTTTTAACTGAGGGTTGTCATTAAGTAGTATGGTTTGTTCACCTTTACCCATGTTCCAAATGAGTTTTGAAAGACGTTTTCACCCATTCATTAGGGGTGGGCTGATGGGAGCCAGACTCCGCTACCTCTCTGATGGCCAACTCCAAATACCCTGCCAACTCAGTTCAGGTTACAAAGGTGAGCACTTATCTGTGGCACACGACAAGGACGTGTAACAGGAGTCTTGCGCGAGGATCCATAAAACTAGTACAGAGCCGGCTGGTGCCGGAGGTTGTAAAGTAACTCCTTATACATGTCACAATGAGCCTAAGTTTCTCTTGCACCTGTGATCAAAATCACATCACCACCTGTTTATATATTATATTGTATTGTTATACTGTCATAAGTCCTGAGGGTGCCATCATTGATACCTCTCATTTGCAGACAGAGTATGCCAGAGTTGAGAACGGCCGCTGTATCTACCGCATCCACCGGTCCCCCATGTGTGAGTACATGATCAACTTCATTCACAAACTCAAGCACTTACCAGAGAAGTATATGATGAATAGTGTTCTGGAGAACTTTACCATTTTACAGGTAACAGAAATATGTTGTGACATTCATAGAAATATGTTGTGACATTCATAGAAATATGTTGTGACATTCATAGAAATATGTTGTGACATTCATAGAAATATGTTGTGACATTCATAGAAATATGTTGTGACATTCATAGAACTGTCCAAAGTGGAACATTGTTTGGTGCCTAAAGTTAATTGTCTCTTTCAGTAGTTTACAAGTAGAATGTTTAGTGCCTAGATTTAGCTTGTTTCTGGTAGTTTGAAATATAATATTGTTTAGCAGTGAAATCTATATTAGTCTATTTAACTATAGTTTACTTAGAACATTGTTTAGTGTTTAGATTGTAGTTCACAGGTAGAACAGTATTAAGTGTTAAGATCTTATTTGTTCATTTCAGGTAGTTCACAAATAGAATAGATTTAATTGTTTGTTCCAGGAAGTCTACAATGACATCTTTTACAGTCTACATCTAATTGTTTGTTTCAGGTGGTGACAAACCGGGACACACAAGAAACTCTTCTCTGTATTGCATTTGTGTTTGAAGTCTCGACCAGTGAGCACGGCGCACAACATCACATTTATAGACTGGTCAAAGATTGATGTTCTCAGGGGAAATCACTCTCACTGCCTGTATACAGGAGTTACCCATGCTCTTATACCGCCTAACTTGACTATGGCTGCAACTGTACATATAAGTTGTTATTGTTTGGTATTGTTTTAATAAGAGTTTATATTGCTGTGATTATTTGGATTCAAGAAGGGGGTTTATATGTTTTTGTGAACATGACTCTGGGTCCCAGAATGACCCACATAGAAATTGCTACCCAGAATTGATATGGGAAGTAAAGGTGATTAGATTGCTATTGACCACATCATCAGCTGATGCTTGCTGGTTTATACATTTATGGGCTAAAACCATTTACACAATGACTAGACATTAGATTGTACATGATGGTAAATGTTTTCCAGTAACCATCTCCTGTGTGGGCTCATAGGGGAGGGTTTGACACACTCTAAAAAGCATGTACAAAGCAACTAACTAGGGATGTTTCCTTCAAAGTTAAAGTACGCCTGTCTGAAAGGGGAGGTACCAACAGTCTGCCTTCAAATAAGCCAGAGTTGTAAAATGGATGTTTACACAGAAGTCAAGTTCTGGAACAAAACCAAAGTCCAGAACTGGATGAACAATCATAACTTTCTGTCCCCTGTGAATGCCAAGAATCAATTCTTTTGTTAGCTGGAACTGTGTTTCCAGATCAGCTCAGCCACTGATGACCAGAAGTGTTTTGGGAAGTAAAGGCAGCTGGGAGTGGTATTTGACCCCCTTACCTGTCAAGTGTCAGTTGGTCTCTATAGAAATGCGGGACCAGCATCATATGTCTAAAGGCGTGGGTCTCTGCAGCTGACCAGTCTTGTAAAATTGGCATCAGAAACTATGAGATATGGTGGTTGGTCTGATAGTGACCATAACCTGGGGATTGGTCAAACTATGAGATATGGTGGTTGGTCTGATAGTGACCATAACTTGGGGTTTGATCAAACTATGAGATATGGTGGTTGGTCTGATAGTGACCATAACTTGGGGTTTGATCAAACTATGAGATATGGTGGTTGGTCTGATAGTGACCATAACTTGGGGTTTGATCAAACTATGAGATATGGTGGTTGGTCTGATAGTGACCATAACTTGGGGTTTGGTCAAACTATGAGATATGGTAGCTTGTCTGATAGTGACCATAACTTGGGGTTTGGTCAGACTATGAGATATGGTGGTTGGTCTGATAGTGACCATAACCTGGGGATTGGTCAAGACAGTCTGGACTTTAGGTCCAATATGGCAGATAGGCTGGCTGGCTGCTGACAGTTTGAAAAGTTTTCTTTTTAGAGCCGCGGTTTGCTAATGCAGTTTCCCTCATTTTTGGTCTGGGAGTCCAAAAGTTTTGTCGCCCAGCTACTGAGTAGAGTGCTTGGTGTGAGCTGTGCATTTCATGTAGATTGGTTTTTTTGTTTGTTTCAATTATGTGGCAGCTTTGTGTTGTGAACAGCACTAGAATTGTTTGTGTACAGAATGGTGTGTAGTTATGCAAGTATTGTGTGTGTGCAAAAGCTTGCTAACTTTTGGGATTGACTTCTTGCATCAACAGTGAGCTGCAGTTCTGATAAGAGACTGTTTGCACATTTGGCAGCTGCCTTATGCATTTATTGTGCGTATGCAAGCTTGTAGACTTTGCTGAGACTGACATGTTTTTCAGATGAGACAGCGAAGGACATTTTCTGTGATTTCTGCTGCCACTGGAACAGAGCAGTTATGGCGTGACACATCTACAGTGAATAGTTCAGTTTTGGGCATTTCCATAAGCGCTGCATCCCCATCTTTGGCAGCCAGGGCAGAGTTCCAATACCGATGGTGCCAGTAGCATTCTGATTGTACGTCTGTCATGCCTTTCCTCTGAGCGTTAAGTATTGGCCAGATCGCCTCGTCGCTCTCTGTTGCGTCAGTCTAACCAGAAGACGATTCATTTGCTTCTGTGAATTGTAAACGTTTTCCCATAATGCCCTAACCACATCTGCCTTATCATGCATCAATATTCCACTAAGTTTTGGAGAGCCAGCCAGTCTTTCTGCGTGCTGTAAAGTTGGAGCCTTAACTAACGACTAGCTAGAAAATCTGGCATAATCTCTGTTATCCTCATTGTGCCACATTGGCATGGAAACAGTTGTTGGCCTGGAGTAGTTTCTACACCTTGTCATTTTGTTGCCGGTTGTTGATTGGCAGCACAACCAGATGCTATCTAATCAACATGCAACAACACTCTTTCCACTTTGCTCCACCCCTTCCACTTAGTTTCACCCCTTCTCACTTTCAAAATTGCTTGACCCCCCCCCCCCCCCCCCCCACACCTGTGTGGTGGGGAGGGGGAGGCTTTCCCCAGATTAGAAACCACTGCTTTAGCTTTAGACAATATCTGTAGGCACTTTGGATCATATCCCTCAGGTTCTTCTTCTTCGCTTCCTCTTTACCGCTGTGGGTGTCGAGGGAGATATAAGGTTCTGTTTCTGGCCGCCTCGACCATAGGCACATAGTGCTGTTGTAGAGTTTCTCTGATGTTATCCTTCCATATTGTTCTTGGTCTACCTCATGCTCTAAGTCCTTCTTCTCTTTCCATGTATGCTTTGTATGGTATAGTGTCACAAGGCATTCTCTCTAAGTGGGCAAACCATTTCACTTGCTGTCTTTGTATGTAATTTAGAATTGGTTCTGTGCCGACTTTTTCTCTTATGATCTCATTTCTGATGTTATCTCTTATGGTCACTCCTACATCCCTTCTCAGACATCTCATTTCCATGGTTACTGATTTTATCCCTCAGGTTAATGTAGGTATTACATAGATTAAGGCTATTTTTAAATGTAGATCCTACATAATTAAACTCATGTAGGCAGTGAAATGTAGATTCTACATAATTGATGTCATGTGGGTGATGTTAAATGTAGGTTCTACACAGTTAGACACGGACTGGTTTTGTTCACTGTTGGTTCTGTAGATGCAGGCTGGTGTTCTTAAATTTCCATCTTACATGTGTAGACTGGGACTACAAAACCCTGATATTCCAAGCTGAATTCAAGAGAGGCAGCAAAATAGACATTTCTGGACAACCACTGGTCCCAACAGTATCTGGACGATACCACTGGTCCCAGCAGTTTCTGGACAACCACTGGTCCCAGCAGTTTCTGGACAACCACTGGTCCCAACAATTTCTGGACAACCACTGGTCCCAACAGTTTCTTTACAACCACTGGTCCCAACAGTTTCTGGACAACCATCTTTTAGATGCAACTGGGAAATTTAGTTCTTTATTTGATTTTTTTAGTTTCTTTGTTGGCCTGTTTAGTTCCTTGTTAGAATGTTTAGTTCCTTGCTGGAATCTTTTAGATCCTTGTTGGGAGTTTTAGTACCTTGTTAGGATGTTTAGTTCCTTGTTGGAATTTTTTAGATCCTTGTTGGGAGTTCTAGTGCCTTGTTGGGATGTTTAGTTCCTTGTTGGAATTTTAGTTCCTTATTGGGATATTTTTTTACTTATTAGGATGTTTAGTTTCTTGCTGAAATATTTAGTTCCTTATTGAGATATTTAGTTTCTGTGATGTTATCTATAGGAGGGATCTTTAGAACTTTGTTGGATTGTCGTATTTTTTCTTGCATAAGACAGCCCTACTTGTTTAGCCCAGGAATAAGAAATACAAATTTTAAGCATATTCCTTGTATACGATGGCATTCAATTTTAAGCTGACTATGGTCTTATACAAGGACAAATACAGTATTTAATTCTTTTTGGGGGATATTTAGTTCCCTTATTGTGATGTATAGTGCCTCTAACTTGTTTGGGATATGTGGTCGTCATAAGTATAGTGCCTTCATTAGAATGTAGGGAGCCAAGATAGTATAGTGCCTATATAACTGGGTTCAAATCGCCATCGAGGTAGATTTTTATTATTTTCAAAATTAATACTGGCTCTGATGTTGCCTCCACCCGGAAAATGGGTACTGATTACATTCAGTGGTATAGTGTCTTCTCAGAGATCTGTGGTGCCTTTTGGGGATATATAGTGACTGTGTAAATATACCTATAGACAGTGTTCTCTGACACCACTGGTCGGGCCCGTACTGGGCTTATAAGTCACTTCTGGACTCACAGACAATCAACTGCAGTTTCATGACGAATGAAAGAAAGGGCAACCTTTGTCACTTTTGATGGACAAACAACGACGACGACAAATGCCTCTGTTGGATCTGCCACGTCAGACATCAAGTGCCAGTTGTGGTTTGTAATAAGTTATGTCTGGCACTATATGTCTGATGTAGCCAAGATGTTCAAAGTGTCCTTGACCTTTTTTTTAACTGATGTTTTTTCCTTTGATGGAATATTGAGTGCCTTTGATGAGATTTTTGAGTGAGCCTTATGTCAGTTGATTGCCTGTGTCAGGTTATGCCTGGCAGGCACTGTTATTTTCATGTTGTGAACGAGTGGCCTGTGATGTTCTTGTCTCTGTTGTTGTATATTTGATTCTGTTTATGTGTGAGTCAAGTCTTGATTGTAAATATATTACAGTGTAATGGTGAATGTAAGCAATAAGTCTGTATTACAGCCAATCTCTGATTTTAACCTTTTTGCCCCAGAAACGCTTACAAAAAAAGGAAGCGAGCTGCAGAGTTCTCGAAAAAATCCTTTAAAGGCGCCTTTTGACACAAATCACTAATAAATTGAAATAAATAAAAAAATTTTTTAAACTTCTAAAATAGGGAACAACAATAGACATAAACAGATTGACGCATTATAAGGCTTACATTCCTTGTCAGAACTTTGTAGCTTAGAACACACGCATTGGGCCTCTTAAACACTGTGCATGTTTAATCAGAACCCAGCAACATTAACTAGGTACCCTGCGGTCAAGTCACTAGCCTTACTAGGTAAGTGTCATTTACGAAACTGAGTCACAAATGGAAATGCCGGACTATAATTTCTCAGGGCGCTAGGTTAAATATCGTATCTTGTAGAGTTATTAACAAGCCATTGGAGCCAAGTCTTTTCATATCAGATGTATT